GCGGGGGCCCGCTCCTCGAGCGGGTGGCCCGTGCCACGTCTCGCTCGTCGCGGGAGGGCAGCCCCGAGGTCCTGGCGTTGCCACTCTTTCGCAACGGGCGCTGTCGCTCCTCAAGTTCGGGCCCCGGGACCCTCACAGGTCGATCTGGCTCGCAAAACGACGCGGGAAGATTGGGTCTGGGGCTGCGGTCGTGATTTCTTGCGATGTTGCTTTTTTTTGGCAACGGTGGATCTCAGGGAAGGTCCCCCCAGGCCCCCTCGAGTCATGACAAAAATCACGACGGGGGGGTTCCCGATGTTCGGCCTCTAGGGGCCGTCCCCGAGCGTCGGGGTCGTCGAAAAACGACTCGGGACGAGAAGCCGGTCCGGGGGAGTGGGTTCAGACCTTTGCAGAGGGTCGCGTCATGACAAAAGCATGACGTCGGGGGCCTGGGGAGGAGGAGAAAGTACCCATGCCGCTACCCTTTTTTTTCGTCTTCCCCGTTGTAGGCCTCCTGGGAGGCCCTCCTCGCCACCGCCGGATTCGCCTCGAGATCCTGGTCAGAACGCGCCCCAGAAGAGGTCCGGGGAGCGGCGATAGGGGTACTTTGTTGTCCCACCAGCTCATGGGAGCCCGAGGATGTTTGTTTCACTCTGGGGCCAAGGACAATCAATTGGGCGTTCCAAAAGGGGCCTTGCCTTCGGGAACCGAAAGAGTTGCCATATCTTCCGCGGCGGAAGGTCGGCGGAAGTAAAACGAGGCCGAATAGCCGGCGGAAGCCAGCGGAAGGCCAGCGGAAGGTGGCAGAAGTGAAAAATTCTAGACGCTTCGCGTATCCCCACCAGCCCGTCCAGAAATGAGCCCCAGGGGAGTGGAGGTGATGAGGGAAGCGGGGGAGCATGCAGAAGAACAAAGAGCGGGTTGAGCCGCCATACGCCCCAAGAGGGGGAGGATGTAGGAGGAGTCGTCGTCGTCGGAGTAGGAGGAGGAAGACGAGGAGCAGGAGGAGGAGCAGGAGGAGGAGGGGGAGGAGGAGGAGGAGGAGGAGGAGGAGGAAGATGAGGAGGAGGAGATGGAGGAGGGCGAGGACGAGGAGGACGAGAAGGAGGAGGAGGAGGAGGAGAAGGAGGAGGCGGAGGAGGGGGAGGGGGAGGAGGGAGGAGGGAGAAAAAGAGGAGGAGGAGGAGGACAATGGCGAGCTTGGGGGCCTCTTGGGCCGTCTTTGGGGCCTCTTGGCGGTCCCGGAGGCCTCTTGCGTATCTCGGGGAGCTTCTTGTGGCCTTTTGGGAGTCTCTTGGAGGCCTCTTGGAGGCCTCTTGGGGGCCTCTTGGGGCCTCTTGGGGCGCTCTTGGGGCGCTCTTGGGAGCTTTCGGGGCGCTCTTGGGGCCATCTTGGAGGAGATCTATCAAAGAAGGGGGGGTTGCTTATTAGCGTTGCCCCTCTAGAGTGCCTCGAATCGCCTCTTGGGCCTTCCTAGAGGCCAAATTCCGTCCAAAACCTAAGGAAAATCAATGTTTTTTGCTTTCTCGCCTTTTCGCTCTTGGAGCCGTCTTGGGCCATCTTGGGAGCATATTTAGGCCTCTTGGGGATCTCTTGGGAGCCTCTTGGGGGCATCTTGGGGGCCTCTTGGGGCCTCTTGGGGCCTTCTTGGGGCGCTCTTGGGGCGCTCTTGGGGCGCTCTTGGGTGCCTTCGGGGTGCTCATGGCGCCATCTTGGAGGAGATCTATCAAAGAAGGGTGGAGCTTTAATTAGCCCCGCCCCTCTAGAGTGCCTCGAGTCGCCTCTTGGGCCCCCCCCCAAGAAGCCAAAACCCGTCCAAAACCTACAGAAAATCATTGTTTTTTGCTTTCTCGCCTTTTCGCTCTTGGAGCCGTCTTGGGCCATATTGGATTCTCTTGGGGCCTCTTGGGAGTCTCTTGGGAGCCTCTTGGAGGCATCTTGGGCGCCTCTTGGGGCCCTCTTGGGGCGCTCTTGGGGCGCTCTTGGGGCGCTCTTGGGAGCCTTCGGGGCGCTCTTGGGGCCATGTTGGGAATATATATCAAAGAAGGGGGGAGCCTCAATTAGCCTCGCCCCTCTAGAGTGCCTCGGATCGCCTCTTGGGCCCCCCCAAGAGGCCAAAATCCTTCCAAAACCTAAGGAAAATCAATGTTTTGTGCTTTCTCGCCTTTTCGCTCTTGGAGCAGTCTTGGGCCATCTTGGGCGTCCCAACGCGTCGCGGAACGCCCCGTCCAGGTCAGTGGGGAGGGGTAAGGGGAGGGGTAAACCCCTCCCCGAAGGGAAAGAAGGGGGGTTGGCAGAGGAAACGCTCTAGACCACCTACGCCCTAAAGGGCTGGTGGGATACGTCCCCGAGAAATGAAAACCCAGACCCTCTCGAGTCATGGAAAAATCACGATGGGAGGTTTTCGCTATTTTCGGTTTTTCTGGGGGCCCTTGCCGGCCTCGGGGCCGTCAAACAACGACCCAGGATGACAAGCCGGTCCCGGGATGAAAAGCCTGGACCTCTGGGGGTCGCGTCCTGAAAAAAACACGACGTCGGCGGAGTCTGGGACCGGCTTTGGGTTCACGGCTTCCGAAACTCGCCCAGGAATGCTCGAGCTGCCCTTGGTCGCTTCTGGTCGGCGTCCGCTTGGACGGCCGCCCCCTTCCCCTCTTTATTTCCCTCCCGCTCTCGTGCGGCCGAGGGTGCTCCAGGGCTCGACCTGCACGGTGTCTTGGCGATGCCGTGCCCCGTTTTCGTCCTGATGTCGTTTTTCGGCGGCGAGCGAGTGGGGGAAGTGAGAAGGAGAAGGCCTTAACAGAAGGCTCGGATGTCCCCCAGCCTTCTGAGAAGTGTTTTAAGCCTCCCCCAAATACACAAAAAAAAACTCAGGAGGCGCGAGGGCTTCTGAGAAGCCCCGCCGCCTTCTGAGAAGGCCTTCTTCTCAGTCCCCCCCTCGCTCGCCGCCGAGCTGTGCTGCAAAGGCGGGCTTGAGACAAAGCGAGGGCCAGCGAAGACGGAACGAGGAACACTGTCTGGGTCGATCCCCGGAGTGACCCGTCGACGGCTCCCAGGCGCGCGCTCTCTCTCCATGTCCTGCTTTTTGCTCGTGCGGGTGGGCGGCCCCGGGCCCCACGCGCGCCCCACGGCGGAAGCACGCGACTGCGACCGGCTCGCGGGCGTCGCGTCGGGTCGAACCGCCGCGCGGCCTGCTGCACGGCAGGTCCCGGACTGCTGCCTGGGAGCCGTCGACGGGTCACCCCAGGGACCAACCCAGGCAGTGCTCCTCGTTCTCGTTTCGTGTTCGCCGTCCTTCGCTCTGTCTCAAGCCCGCCCCTGCAGCCAAACGACCTCAGGACGAAAACGGGGCACGGCATCGCCAAGACGCCGTGCAGGTCGAGCCCTGGAGCACCCTCGGCCGCACGAGAGCGGGAGGGAAGTAAAGGGGGGAAGGGGGCGGCCGTCCAAGCGGACGCCGACCAGAAGCGACCGTGGGCAGCTCGAGCATTCCTGGGCGAGTTTCGGAAGCCGTGAACCCAAAGCCGGTCCCAGACTCCGCCGACGTCGTGTTTTTTTCAGGACGCGACCCCCAGAGGTCCCGGGCTTTTCATCCCGGGACCGGCTTGTTGACGGCCCCGAGGTTAAGTGCCCCCAGAGACCGAAAATAGCGAAAAACTCCCCGTCGTGATTTTTTCCCGACTCGAGGGGGTCTGGGTCTTCACCTCTCGGGGGCGTATGTTTTACATCTGCCACCTTCCGCCGCCCTTCCGCCGGTTTCCGCCGGCGGAGGCGGCCTCGTTTTACTTTCGCCGACCTTCCGCCGCCCTTCAGCCGCGGAAGATGACAACTCCTTCCGTCCTCGAAGGCAAGGCCCTTTTTGGAACGCCTCACATGCGTTGCTAATGCGGGGGCGCTGGCCAGGGGCCGCAATACCGAGGGGGCAAGAAGAATGCACCCCTTGCCCCAGGGAGAGCCCTGACCTTCCAGGAGGACCTCGACGTTTAAATTCCTGTCGAGGTTTTAGGCAGTCCAGATAGGTCTATAGGTCTGGAGGGCTAATCCCACCAGCCCTTTAGGGCGTAGGTGGTCTAGAGAGTTTCCTCTGCCAACCCCCCTTCTTTCCCTTCGGGGAGGGGTTTACCCCTCCCCTTACCCCTCCCCACTGACCTGGACGGGGCGTTCCGCGACGCGTTGGGACGCCCAAGATGGCCCAAGACTGCTCCAAGAGCGAAAAGGCGAGAAAGCACAAAACATTGATTTTCCTTAGGTTTTGGAAGGATTTTGGCCTCTTGGGGGGGCCCAAGAGGCGATCCGAGGCACTCTAGAGGGGCGAGGCTAATTAAGGCTCCCCCCTTCTTTGATAGATCTCCTCCAAGATGGCCCCAAGAGCGCCCCGAAGGCTCCCAAGAGCGCCCCAAGAGCGCCCCAAGAGGGCCCCAAGAGACCCCAAGAGGCCCCCAAGAAGCCTCCAAGAGGCTGCCAAGAGACCCCCAAGAGGCCCCAAGAGAGTCCAAGATGGCCCAAGACGGCTCCAAGAGCGAAAAGGCGAGAAAGCAAAAAACATTGATTTTACCTAGGTTTTGGAAGGATTTTGGCCTCTTGGGGGGCCCAAGAGGCGACTCGAGGCACTCTAGAGGGGCAACGCTAATTGGGGACCCCCTCTTCTTTGATCGATCTCCTCCAAGATGGCCCCAAGAGCGCCCCGAAGGCTCCCAAGAGCGCCCCAAGAGCGCCCCAAGAGCGCCCCAAGAGGCCCCAAGAGGCGCCCAAGAAGCCTCCAAAAGGCTCCCAAGAGACCCCCAAGAGGCCCAAGAGGCTCCCAAGACGGCCCAAGACGGCTCCAAGAGCGAAAACGCGAGAAAGCACAAAACATTGATTTTAGCTAGGTTTTGGAAGGATTTTGGCCTCTTGGGGGGGCCCAAGAGGCGACTCGAGGCACTCTAGAGGGGCAAGGCTAATAAGCAACCCCCCCTTTTTTGATAGATCTCATCCAAGATGGCCCCAAGAGCGCCTCGAAGGCTCCCAAGAGCGCCCCAAGAGCG